GTAAGCCAAGCATACTCATTTTTTCCTCAATAAGCTGTTTGGGTCAGACCAACCATAGTTCATATTGATATTGCTGTTCCTTTGCATGAAAACTAGGTAATGATATGCAGAGAAATGCTAAGGAAGACTTGAAAAAGTTTTTGCAGCTTCTTTATTGTTGAAAGGAGATACACTCAGACATAATAGGTAATGTCCATATTTACCTCATGTTTGTTTTCTATCCTTGGATTATGCAACAGTATTGAGACATGTTCAATGGGACACACATGCAAGTATAAGGAGCCATTTGTAAGTCAGATGTGGATATCAGACTAAAGCACTTACTGTGCATCCATGTCAGAAAGCTAACATGTTTGTGTGTCTCCATAGTTACATATAAGTGATTATTAACAAACAATTTTGTGTGTGTGCATGTGTATGCATACGTGTGTGTGCATGCGCGTGTGCATGCGCATGTGTGTGCAAATGTGTGTGTGTGTGCATGCGCATGTGTGTGCAAACGTGTGTGTGTGTGTGTGTGCGTGCGCATGTGTGTGCAAACGTGTGTGTGTGTGTGTGTGTGTGCATTCTCTCTCTCTCTCTTTCTTTCTCTTTCTCTTTCTTCCTCCCTCCCTCTCTCTTTTTCTCCCTCCCTCCCTCTCTGTTTTTCTCCCTCCCTCCCTCTCTCTTTTTCTCCCCCTCCCTCTCTCTCCCTCCCTCCCTCCCTCCCTCCCTCCCTCCCTCCCTCCCTCCCTCCCTCCCTCCCTCCCTTCTTCTCTCTCCCTCCCTTTCTCCCTTTCTCTCTCTCTCCCTCTCTCCCTCTCTCTCTTCCTCTTTCTTTCTTTCTCTCTTTTCCCTCCCTCTCTCCCTCTCTTCCTCTCTTCCTCTCTCTTTCTCCTCCCTCCCTCCCTCCCTCTCTCCCTCTCTCTCTTTCTCCTTCCCTCCCTCCCTTTCTTTCTTTCTCCCTCCCTTCCCCTCTCTTCCTCCCCTTCCCCTCTCTTCCTCCCCTCCCTCTCTCTTCCTCCCCTCCCTCTCTCTTCCCCCCCCCTCTCTCTCTCTCTCTCTCTCTCTCTCTCTCTCTCTCTCTCTCTCTCTCTCTCTCTCTCTCTCTCTCTCTCTCTCTCTCTCTCTCTCTCTCTCCCTCTCCCTCTCCCTCTCCCTCCCTCTCCCTCTCTCCATCTCCCTCCCTCCCTCTCTCTCTCTCTCGCCCTCCCTCTCTCTCCCTCTCGCCCTCCCTCTCTCTCCCTCCCTCTCCCTCCCTCTCCCTCCCTCTCCCTCCCTCTCTCCCTCCCTCTCTCTCTCCCTCTCTCTCTCTCTCCCTCTCCCTCTCTCTCTCTCTCTCTCTCTCTCTCTCTCTCTCTCTCTCTCTCTCTCTCTCTCTCTCTCTCTCTCTCTCTCTCTCTCTCTCTCTCTCTCTCTCTCTCTCTCTCTCTCTCTCTCTCTCTCTCTCTCTCTCTCTCTCTCTCTCTCTCTCTCTCTCTCTCTCTCTCTCTCTCTCTCTCTCTCTCTCTCTCTCTCTCTCTCTCTCTTGCAATATCAAAGCTGTTTCAGTTTCTGTTAGATCGATGAAGTTTCCTCTAAATTCTTTTGTTCATTCAACTTTCTGCCTTGCTGTAGCCTTTTTGGTTGAGAGACACACCATATGTTTTAAATGGATTTCAAAAGAAACGTTTAAAAAATGATCAAAACAATACTTTGGTAAAGCCCTTGTTTTGATATGATAAAATTATTTAATCCTGTGATTTTGTATTGTTTTGTGCATTGATGGATGAGCAGATATTGTATAGTGGCTCTTAGTTTGAATGCTGCTTTGAAGGGGGGGTTTTCAATATTTGACGCAGCATAGGTTTAGCTTTTTAGATTAAAGCCTGTTATTAATGTGAGTGAGTGAATGTAGGGACAACAGTATTCCATATAATGTATGTGTGTATGTATGTATGTATATATACATATATGTATACATATGTATGTATGTATATGTATGTATGTACACACACACACACACACACACACACACACACACACACACACACACACACACACACACACACACACACACACACACACACACACACACACTGTGTGTGTGTGTGTGTGTGTGTGTGTGTGTGTGTGTGTGTGTGTGTGTGTGTGTGTGTGTGTGTGTGTGTGTGTGTGTGTGTGTGTGTGTGTGTGTGAGAGTGTGTGTGTGAGTGTGTGAGTGAGTGTGAGAGAGAGATGCATAAGTACATTCATACATTTTACATTTATACTTCTATTTATTGTTTATGACTATGTGAAAGAATATTGTATGTACACTGTACTTTCTAACCAAAACTTAACCAAATATTCATGGATAGAGACTTAGTAACAGTTTACGGAAATTTGCAAGATTTTGGACCTGTTTGGAGAATTTATTGGCTAGCTTTTCCAGCCTGCAAATGTGAAGCATCATATACTCATCACTCACTCTTTTCTATCCTGGTGACCTCTAGTAATTATAACCAGGTGACTTAGTTTTATTATATATTTCTCGTTAACTTAGTGAATAATGGCAAAATACAATTGCGTGGTTGTGTTATTTTATAGATTTTATTGATTGTCTTTCGTAAAGGGTCTGGGGTCGGACTGAACACGTGAAAGGTTGTTTGTTTAGTTTTAATATTAGAAAATTGTCATTTTATGAAAAGTTATTGTTTTGAGAATTCATATTTTTATTGATGTGCTCTCCATTATCTGGTATAGGAAGGAAGTGTCCTAGGATGATTCGAGCTTTGTTGGTGGAAAGTTGAGTTGGATGTTTTTTCTGTCTTGGATTTCACCTTTTAGTCATTTTGGTTATAATGTCTCAGGTAAAAAAAGCAAAAAAAAACAAAAACAAAAAACAAACAAACAAAGGATTGGTTTATTGAAGCCTGAGACAGCAGGTCTGAAAACAAAATTGGATCTTTTAGTAAACCTGTTTTGTTATAGTAGGAGGAGGAGAATATTTTAGTAGTGTTAGTAATAATTATATTTCTTTTTTTTCTTCATAAGCCAGAAAAATACTCTGCCTATTTTAGATTTTCTGTATCTGCACATAGATGGCTTTGCTAGTGCTTAGCCACAAAGGAGTCTATTAGTAGCCCTTGTGACTGACCTTACCTGATTTCACCTCTCATGCAATTGGCAGGATCCCCCCTCCCCCCAATGCTATGAATATCGGTGGCGTTATTTTTATTATAGATATTGTAATTACTCTAATGATACTGACATTAGTAATAGCAATATAAGAGAATGTAAAATATTTTTCAAAATCTAGAAAAAGAGTAAACAGGCAAGACAGGCTGTACTCGTAATTGGCTCATTGTATAAAAATCATCAATAAAGTAAACTCACAGTGGGCATGGCATATATGTACATGCCATGCTTTTATTTTTCAGTACAACTTGTGAATTATTTTGATTGTGAAGAGAGAATGCAGATAATATTATATATATATCGCCTTTTGGGTATATGACTGGAGGGCTTCAGGTGCTGCAGAAAAAAGTCCAAGGTTTGATGTAGATCCATAGTTGTTCATGTAGAACAACTTGTGATAACTATTGTCATGTTTTCTTAACCCAAAGCCAGCAGGCATGGCATTTATGTACATGCCATGCCCACTGTGAGTTTACTTTATTAATTGTTTTTTTGTTTTTTTTTCCCACATAGATGGCTACACTTGTACTAAGTCACCAATGAGCCAATTATGAATACTGCCTGTCTTGCGAGGTTACCCTTTCCTTGATTTTTAAAAATATTATACTTTATGTTATATTACTGTTACTAATGACAATAATGTTATAGCAATTATAATGTCTGTAATAGGAAGATCACCATCAATATTGATAACATTAGTAAATAAATGTTTTTCCAACAAATTCGAGGAAAGGTGAATTCAGGAAAGGTCACAAGGTCTACTACTTGACTTTGGCTAAGCATTTGCAGAGCCATCTATGTGCAGAGACATTTCACAAAATTGAAAATGGGCACAGCATTTTCCCAGTGACATTGAGTTAATAATTAGCTTAACCCAATCAGCACAGACAGCAAGAGTACATGCCATGCCCACTGTTCATCTATTGTCTTTACAAATAGATGGCTCTACAAGTGCTTAGTCACCAAGGAGTCAGTTATTAGTCCTACCTATATCACCTATTTACCCTTTTCCTTTATCTCTGGAAAGCACCATTTGTATTATTTAATTGTCTTGAATGTTATTAACACATTAATAACAATTCAGTAGTCATAATACCAATAGAATAATAACTATCATTAATAATAGTATTAGAAAGAACAACACATTTTCCTGCAAATTCGAGGAATGCGGAAATCAGGTGCAGTCACTAGGGCCTACTGATACACTCTGTGGTGACTGAGCTCATGTGGAGCTATCTGTATGTAACAAAATTCACAAAAAACTACAGGGGACAGTACATAAACTCGTAGTCATTGGGTTAATACAAGTTAATTGTCAAGTCTCATAGTAAAATGGACGTTACAGCCGCTAAGTGGTAATTTCTTAGTAGAGTAACAGAGGGTCCTGTGTTTTTTTTAATATAAGGTTCAGGTTATCATTAGCAGTGTCCTTCTAAAACTGTTTGCAAAAAAAAAAAAAAAAAAAAAAAAAAGACACTTTAGTAGTAGCAAGGTCATATTATTTTGTATGAGTTCTCCAGATTGCTTTGTTCATGCCTTCAGATTTTGTTTATAGGTTTTATATTAGTCTGTAACAGAAGATGTTTTTTTGTTTTTTTTTTTTCTGAAAGCTCTGTGAGATACATTTTAAATTTAAGCAAGATAAAGCAATCTTTCCCCATGGCATTTCAGAGAGAGAATGATTTCACTACTGGAGATAGGCAAGCAAGCCGGGATGGCGTAACATACATGCCATGTCCACTGTAATTTTAGTTTTTAAATTGTTTAAACATAGATTGCTTCACAAGTAATAAGCCACTAAGGAGTCAATTGCTAACACTATCTATCACATCTGTTTACCCCATAAATTGATTTTTTGATAA